CTAGAATCCAGGTGGGCAGAGCACAAATAGCCCATTGTGTAACTTTGTGCTTAATTACAAACAAACAAACACATATAACATGTTTCACATGTCAACAGTGTTTCGTTAAGCCCTTTTCTAAGGCCGAGTTTGGTATAGTAGTTAGTTAGCGTGTCAGGCTGCGTATCAAAGGGTCCAGGGTTCGAGCCGTGAGGTCACTACACTCTCTACGCATTTTCAGCTGTGAGCGCGTTATAAAAGTGGCAATTAATCACGTTATTCGGTTTAAAGAGTCTGAATAAAACCCTCGTGGAAGCACGTGCTGCTGGTTCGCTGCCTTCCCTCTCTCTGGTCAATAGTTCAAAATTAGGGACGGCTATATATGAAACTTGGGGATTCCTGATCTGACCGTTTAGTCCACGTAAGGTGCCGATTAAAGGCTGAAAATTCGAATTCCCTTTTCAGAGAAATCCCTCATTTACAGCCCATGCAAGAAATGTCAGTATCATTCAGCAGTGTTTAATTTGAATACAGAGAGATCAAGTATGCATTACGGAAATATAATTTACAATGCCTAATCACAAACATCAAAATAAAAGAAACATTACATTATAAACATAATAACATACACAGGTAGACAAAGCAACATGTTAACTCTTAAACCTAATGACAATAAGAACAGATGAAAGAAAATGATATTCAATTTATATTCAGCTGAAAAGATTCACAGAAAAATTAGTCTAAGAAATTAGTATAAGTACATATTTCAAATATTATTGAGTTATGTAAAATATTTTTTAACGCGATGAAATTTTTGTTTTTGTAATAAAACGTTGTCGACATTTCTCCGTGACTCAACCATGGCGTTTCCAAATGTTCATTCAACAAGACATTCTATTTTAAGAAATAAAATAAAACAAATTCTGATAAAATAAGACATTCTACACCTTTTCAAGGGCTCAACTTTCTTACATGAACAAAGATTTAGATAATGTGCTAACACGTGCAAAAAACAACAAATGTTATAATGAATTAAGTTTTCGTTTAATGAGCAAAAATGGAGACCAGAACGGCCGTTATTATATGATGCGAACTAATGAAAAAACCAAAAAAAAAAAACCGTACTTTGTGCAGAACCCGAAAGAAAATTTGCTTCTATTTCATTTCGAAAGTTCGATCTTTAAAATGACAAGGCTTAGTTTGTTTGTTACGCGGACGGGTTTGTGTGAACGTTAGCTCACGTGAACGGCCTTGTAACGAGAGTCACGAGCTTGTAAGAACTAGTCAAAGACAACTGATAGCTCAAGAGTGCTTCAGGTGTAAGTAATCAGTTTTGACAGAGCTTTGCCGAGCGATGTTCTGTTGTAAGCCACGAAACCTGAAACGTAACGCAGAACACGAGAGCAAAGTAAACCGGCCTTTATTTTATTTTCGTAACAAAATCAGCATTATGCTCTTGGTAACTAGAAACCTACAGCCTATGAAACGATGAATAAGATATCCCGATACTTTTTCGTCAGTTGCGTGCGAGCGTTGCTCTGTGAATATGCATGAAGTTAGACTAGTACCCATACAGATGATGAGGCTGTAGAAAACATGATTATTAACATGCGCGACGTATACTTATTTCTTATTTTCGACATGACATCAAAAGTGGCTCAACACCCCATTGGGGCTGTTCGCTACATCGCCAGCAAATCCTCGACTGTATCCAAGAGCAATCGGAACTAGTTTACTATTAAAACACGAAACAGATTTAATGTACACGTAATATGAGTCGAAAAATGCTTGTTATATGCATTTCTAACATCACAAATTTGCTTTATTCAGAAAAATCTTTCTCTAAAATGGATATTTTATTTTATGTCATATAATCTATATAAATATAATAGTGCCGTCTGTGGTATGTCCATATAATTAATTCGCAGGGTGTGGGTGGATCTTTACCCATGAAGTGAAATACTATGCAGTGTTATATTTCATACTAAACATTTCTTGAAATAATGATTTGAATACCAATCACCCTTGGAACATTCTCTCTGAAAAAGCTAATTTTTATTACTGAAATATACATTAAACTTCTGCTGTTCTGTCACAGAATAACACCGCTGAACGCAGGGAGCACCTGTACAAGATTCTGGTAATTGGGGAACTTGGAACCGGGAAAACCAGTATCATCAAACGTTACGTGCACCAGTTCTTCTCCCAGCACTACCGAGCAACAGTATCCTTTTTTTCGGATATTATTATATAAATATAATAATACTGTCTGTTGTCTGTTCATATATTTACTCTTCAACAAGAAGTATTCATTTGCACACGACTGGAACATAAAACAAGAGAAAAAAACAATATCCATCAACAGGGGGCGAAGTAGTGGTAAAAAACGTAAAAAACATCCATAAAAACCGCAAAACACAAAATGTTTGTATGTATCTTGTATCTCCCCATAGACCCAATGGACCTTCAAGCTAAATCTGGTAAAGGTCCGTCAACAGGGGGTGAAGTAGTGGTAAAAACGCCCATAAAAGTAGCAAAACTGAAAATTTGTACGTACGTACCCCGCAGGGACTCAATGAACCTCCACACCCATTTTGGTGAATATCCATCCACACCCTGCTAAATAGTTACATTGTTGAAAGATAACATATCACCAGGTTTTGCCGCCAGTGGGGTTAATGTGGTTGTAATACTGCCTCCTTATCATTTTTATCTTTGTATATAACTTACTGATTTTTCTGGAAGGTTGTAGGAGTGTTTATCGAACAGGTTGTTCTCATTGTGACTTAGTTGACAAAACATTGAAAGTGCTAATTTTACAATGAAATACCAACGTTAAATATACATATGTAGAGATTAAATTATTAAAAAAGCTAGTGATAACTGCCTATTTATAAATCATTCGCTATTCAAAGATTTGAATATGGTTACGAGGGTTGTCCATAAAGTTCGTGGCCCGACCTATAAAAAAAAAGAGAGACACTGGTTCAGCTATTATTTATTTTTCAACGCAATCTCCTCCTTATCCTATACACTTACGCCAGTGGTGCTCTAAGGCATTTATGCCCTTCTGAAAGTATCCTTCTTCTTTGTCCTCAGTTCATGACTGGATGGTATGTACAGGATCATCATCTCTCTGAAATCTTCGACTTTTCATAAAGATTTTAAGGTTAAGGAAAAAAAAGGGTTATTTGGAGCTAAATCCGGTGAGTCAGAGGGATGGAGGATGATTGAAGCCAGCATCATAGCATTCAAAGCAACATGTGATTTGTGAGCTAGGGTATTATTGTCCTGATGGAAGAGCACACCTTTTATGAGCAATCTTCTTCTCTTTCCTTTGAGTTCTTGACGCATATTGTTGATTAAAGATTCATAGTAATCTCCTGAAACGGTTTGACCCCTTTTCCAAATAACCAACTAGTAAAACGCCCTTGGTATACCCCCAAAAATTGATGCCATAATCTTTCCAGCAGAGGGTTGTGACTTGAACTTCTTTGGGATGGGTGAACTTGGGTGTTTCCATTGCGAACTCTGCAATTTTTTCTCTGGGTCGAAGTGGCGAACTCACATTTCATCCATAGCTACGAATTTATTGAAACCTATTGGCTGTCAACAACTCGGACCCGTTTCTACTCAAGTAACAACATTTTTGGAACCAATCTGGCACTAATTTTAATCATGCCCAAACTGTCACTCAAAATGCTTGCTACAGTTCTTTCACCGATTCCCACTTCCTTTGCTAACTTCCCAATGGTAATTATTTTATTATATATAAAAAAATCATGACGTTTATCAAACATTTCTATTGTGTTTGATGTCGAAGGCAGACCTCACCTTATCATGATTCAGTTCACCCAGACATACCGCTGTACCACTGGAGGGGGGGGGGGCATTTTTTTGGAGGAAGGACGTGAACAGTGTTAAACGTCATGGAGAAGATCGAATTTCGTGCAGTGATTAAATATTTAGTTAAAAATAAAATGGTACCTTTAAGAAATCCAAAATGGCACCGTTAAGAAATCCACCAGGACCTGGAAGCAGATGCTCAACAGTGGAAAAGTCGGACTTAGAACGTTAGAAACCGGGTTTCGATACCCATGGTGGGCAGCGCACAGAGGGCCCATTTGTGGATCTTTGTGCTTAATTGCAAACACACAAACAAATCCTTCAAAAATCCGCAATAAGCTTCTTAAGTTATGTGATACATGTTGTTTGCTCATAGAAAAGGTTCAAATTTAATATTACCCAAAATAAAATCATGCGTTCGAGTTGTTTTTTTTTTTTTAGGTTGGGCCACGAACTCTTCGGACATATTCCCGTTTAGTTACTCATGCTTCGAATACAACATGAAGTTGAAATAACAACAGTGAGGTTCAAATCATTTAACTTCATCAAGAAAAAGAGTGATACAACCACGACAAGTAAAGCAAAGAGAAACTCCCGTAGTCTAAAGACAGTATTGAAATTCGAAAAAGGGGTCTGGTCATCACTGTTCTCACTCTCAATCGGATATTTGTTTGTTTTGTTTTTGAATTTCGCGCAAAGCTACACGAGGGCTATCTGCGCTAGCCGTCCCTAATTTAGCAGTGTAAGACTAGAGGGAAGGCAGCTAGTCATCACCACCCATCGCCAACGCTTGGGCTACTCTTTTACCAACGAATAGTGGGATTGACTGTCACGTTATAACGCCCCCACGGCTAAAAGGGCGAGCATGTTTGGTGTGACGGGGATTCGAACCCGCGACCCTCAGATTACGAGTCGAGCGCCCTAACCACCTGGTTCTCAATCGGATATAATGTTACTGTTTTGCGGGGCAGGAACAATCTTAACAGGAAAAGTTTTTCAACTCTTTCTGGCACTTTTAACATTTCTTAGATGTTGTCGTATAATGTTTATGATACTGTTGAATAATCTCACGTGTAATCGATCGCGCATCGCTACCATTTCATTGTATCGAAACTCCATAATTCTAGCAGTCTGTGTTTTCTCTTCTTTCGTAACCTTGTATACACTTCGACACTGTTGAAATACATAAATTATGTGTGTGTGTGTGTGTGTTACTATTCATACTCACTAAGTTTCCATATAGAAATCGAAGAGTGAGCCATGTCATATGTTTAAGGAGTATTTGGATTATTTTGGCTGAGCTGTATGTGTGTGTTGTCATATGTTTAAGGGGTATTTGGATTATTTTGGCTGAGTTGTATGTGTTTGTGTGTTGTCATATGTTTAAGGGGTATTTGGATTATTTTGGCTGAGCTGTATGTGTGTGTTGTCATATGTTTAAGGGGTATTTGGATTATTTTGGCTGAGCTCTATGTGTGTGTTGTCATATGTTTAAGGGGTATTTGGCTTATTTTGGCTGAGCTGTATGTGTGTGTTTGTCATATGTTTAAGGGGTATTTGGATTATTTTGGCTGAGCTGTATGTGTGTGTGTATATATATATCAGCTTTTTGTAGAAAATAGAAATGCTCGTTTCTTTTGTTCTTTAAAGTTCCTACAATAGATTGGAGTCGACTTTGCTTTAAAAGTTCTCAACTGGGATTCCAACACTCTGATTCGACTTCAGTTATGGGACATTGCAGGTAAGTTTATCAACACGCCATATGAACTTTGATTACATTGTCGTTTTTTTTTGTTTGTTTTTGATAAATGTTTGGGTGACACGTACTTATCATAGTACTGTGAAATTCACAAGGCAGAATAAATATTGATATAACCAATCCAAGGGTAGATTACTGACAGTTCGATGGTG